ATACACTAAACCAAATATTATTGTTTACATAGCAGCCTTATTTGAAGATAAGAGAGGTGAACAGGTATTTTACACAAGAACAGCAGAAAGGAAAAGGTCCAAACAATAATGACTTACCTAAAAACTGCAATACACTACTGAAACCACTGTAAATCCAATCAAATAGGAACATATCTGAATCTTATAGTCTGAAATAAAGAGAAAACATAAATCATGTAAGTTCTGTCAGAACAGCACATTAAGCATTGTAAAATATTTATAGGTAACAAAAGTAATTCAAAATCCTGGGTTAAAAATAAAAATACAATTTCATTTTGGTAAACTGTATCACAGACCAATTAGGTAACAATAGCAAAGATTTTCCCCTCCTTTGGGAAAACACTATGTGGATGGAAGTCTTTGTGAGCAGTAAAAATAATTTTATCCTAAATACAATTTGCTGAAGGTGTGTGATGATCCAATGAAGATTTTAAACAGAATCTTCACTTTTCAATTGGGAAAAAGTGGCACTTTGAAGGGTGCACTAGAGGGATATCAGTGCAGTGTTAGTGCTCCAGCCGTCCCTGGGAGCCACTAGGGTTCAAAGCAGAGGCAGTAAGAAGTGAAGAAGTTTTGTGGAGTTGAATCTAGAGAAGTTTGATACCAAATAAATCCCTATTGTCCACACAGAAACTGTCTGTTTGGCTTGTTATAATAAACAACTACCTAGTACAAAGCACCGGAATTACCCTTCAAAGACAGCGACTTCCTGTATTGTCCTGAACAGGCTGCCACAATTCAAACCTTAAAAGCAAAATTTCTGTTTAGTAAAAACCACCTGAACTCCATATTTCCCACTGAATTCCTTCAGTTTAGATTTGAGAAGGCTGAAATGAGAGGCAGTACTAGGTTCATTGTGTAGACATGAGCAATTAATTTCCTAGCTTTCATCTTATTTTCCTCACTACCTAAAGTGAGGATAACCATAGAAGCACTGAGGCTGAAAAAGACCTCTAAGATCGAGTCCAACTGTTAGCCCACCACCACCRTGTTCAACACTTCAACCACATCACCAAGGGCCACATCCATGGGACTTTTGAACACTTCCAGGGATGGCRATTCCACCACTGCCCTGGGCAGCTGTGCCAGGGCTTGGCCACCCWTTCAATGAAGAAATTTTTMCTAGTWCCTAATCTGAATCTTTCCTGACACAACTTGAAGYTGTTWCCTCTCATCTTGTCACTTGTCACCTAAGAGAAAAGAGCAACCCTGACCTGGCTACAACCCGTCAGTGAGTTGTAGAGAGTGATGAGGTTTCCCCCAAGCCTCTTTCTTCCAGGCTGAGCATCCCCAGCTCCCTCAGCTGCTCCTCATCAAGCTTGCACTCTAAATCACACTGAAAGCACCAGTTTGACACAGTGAACTGTGAGTATTTTAGTTCTCTTGAAAGATTAAAGGGCAACATCCTTAGAAGCCTTTAGCCAGCTAATTCCTACTGRAATGCATGACCCCTGTGGACACTGCCCTACAAAAACTGGACTGCACCGCTAACACAGATGGCAGAGGCATCCATGCTGCTACAGGTTCTCACCACACTTGTTTAGAAGCTGCAGGGCTGCCTTGGGGCATCACAAGAGGATTTCAAGGCAGCTCTGAGCCTGGAGCACAGCACACAGGAGTCAAAACACAGGTCTGAACCAGCCTAAAATCCAGGCACCTGTCATAGTATTTATCACATATGCTCATGACAAAGAGTTCCTTTGCTACGCAACAACAGGTACATTATACAGAGATAATGTGGGAAGAGGAGGATTGAATATTTAATGACATTTGACTCCACTGGAACAAAATCTGTTCAGATGACRAAGCACCAGGTGTCTTGGTTTCGCCACAACTAGCCCTGAAACCTTTACCCACATCTGCATTACTCTGAACAACTCAACAGCTGCAACAGGCACAGATTTTAAGAATACAAATCAAATATGCTTGTCAATGCATAAACACCCAGTTACACAACGTCATGACTGAAACTGTCCCTTGCGTGGCTAAAAAGCAAAGGTCAAGAATAAGCAAACATGGCAGAACACACACGTCAGCAGATTTATTTATTGCTTGAGCAAAATACCAATCGAGAAAAGCCTCTGTGGGGCTTAGGAAAACGATCGACTCAAATAACCTGCAAATCAGGGCAAACAGCGTGATGTAAGAGAAGTGCTCAGATTACTGAGGTGAGAATAACKACAGTGTTCAGTTGGATTAACCTTTTCCATCTATTACACTTAGGTTTACAAAAAAACAACCACCAAAACAATCTTCATGATTATAGAAAAAACTTGAAGGAGTGAGATTCAAATGATTAACTTGAGAAGAGGATTACTCCACTAACACAGCTGAAGTGGCATTAATACTGGTTCAATTTCTATCACYGTAAGAAAAGTGCTGTTGGAAACACAGCTATCCAAATCCTCCCAGAACAGCCTCCGTATCAGCTGGCAGCCRTTAAAGGAAAACACTTTCAAAATGGGAAAAAAATGGACAGCTAATTGTAAATGCACACAGGTAGTATTTGAATAGAGATATTACATCTACTCTTATCACACAAGAAAAATAACTACATAATTCGGAGCTGTGTCAAATCAAAGTGTTCCAAAGCCACAGTAGATCTGCATTGGTTTCCAGAGWTGTTACACTGAGAGCAAGTTTAGGAGAGAGCTGAGGTTGTTGAATATACACAGACTCAAACTGTCAGGCTCATGTTAAAAACACTAGAAAAGCAGAACAATGAAGACTCCAAAAATCACCGTTCACAAGCCAGGATGAAGACAAAGATACTATTTTAAGGTTATTTCAAGGGTTGATTTGAAAATGAACCACTGGAAGCAGACAAAAGTTTTGAATGAAAAACTGTGCTGGACCAAAACAGTCTTTTGATACCAACTACTTTTACAGACATCATCAACTCACTGTGTCTCCCCCACAAAAATACCGAAGTTAACTTTCTAGCATCAYTTCAGTAACAGATATCTGCCACTGAAAAACGTCCCCTTCAACCCTGGTGAATGTTATTCCATCAGCAAAGCATCACTCAGTAATTCTTGTGGAGTCCCATCCACCACTCCATAGACCAAGGACGTGGGTTCACTTACTGAAGACTATGGGGAATAAGGAATTCCCACACAGTGGCTCTGGTAACACTGAGCCAGCCGCCTGAAAGGAAAGCTGCTGACAGCATGGACCAGCAAGCAAACTCACTCACACTTCTTTTATCTTATGAAAACTAGGAATTTTTTTCCTCCTACTCTCAATTTGCTTTTTTTCTAGCTAAAAATTCATCATTTCACTTCCAAGCCTTAGGACAGTGCTTACATCCGAAGCCTCTCGAAGTTGAAATAAGAGACAATACCAGGCTTTTAAAGAGAGTTTTAAATGCCTTCAAGGAACAATTAGGAAACAGAAACCAGTTACACCCAAGCTGAACAACTCTTGCATGAACTGGGAACACACTGTGCTACACCTGTGTGGGGACTATCAGCAAGAACCAGGGAAGAAATCTCAGTCCAGCCTGACTTCATCAAACCTCCACCTCAACCAGGGTTCAGTCCAAAAACACGACCTCCAAGCAACCGCTTAAAGCCTACTGCCAAGGGTGTATTTTTAGTTTTTCAAGTAGGATGTAAATATGATCACTTAAAAACTGTAATTTCACACATGATCACTGTAACATTATAAAGTATTACCRCAGGCAACGAAAGTCAAAATCACTAGGAAACTCAGTGAATAAATGAGATTCTGTAATGCAGTTTATTCTTTGATTTGAAACTGCACTTGGATGTTGCACATTAAAAGCTAAGGAAAGGCAGAGAGCTCAAAAATGAGGTAAGGAAGGGCATAGAGTTCCTTTAGGTATTTTAATCAGATTTTGACAGCCACTCATCTTTGAGACAACAGAGTTTACCTGTGAAGACAGCACCACAACACACGAATTTCTAAGGACACCTGATATTGAGGTTTAGCCGGCCCTGGTTCACAAAGCCCAGCTGTCAGAGCACACCCTCACTGCAGGGCTGCTGCAGCCATTCACTGACTTATSAAAAGCACCCTTAAAAGCAGTAACTTCCGAAGAAATAACAACATTTCCAGCAAGTGTTGCCAGGTCGATACAACGTGGCAGACGGCTGCCCAGGGAGGCTGCAAGGTATCTGTGGGTTACGGGGTTGCTTAACGCTCCTCAGCATCACAGAGCCACCGAGGCCGCGCTGCTGCGGACCTGCGAGCAGCAGGACAGCCTCACGGACCAGGCACTGCCCCCGGGGGTCCGAGCAGCCCCCAGGGCTGCACCGGGGGAGAAAAAGAGGCGAAAGGAGGGACAGGAGGGAAGGGAGGGGAGCGCCCGCCCCCAGCCCCTTGGCAGCGCGCTGCCCGCGGCCCCGGGCAGGCCGCGGTTTGTCGGGGCGCGCAGGGACCCCCGGCCAGGCCCCGCCGCGGCCCGAAGGCCGCTCCCAGCAGGACACAGGGACGGCCCGGTGCCCTGTGGGGCTCGCCCGGCTCTCCCGCCAGCCGGGGCGGGCAGACCGCTCACCACCCGCCCCGCTCACCCACCGCCGAGCCTGAGATGYTCTGGGATTTGGGCAGCACSGACACSGACACCGACACSGACMSRSACMGACACCGACACCGACACCGACACCGACACTCACCCGCGGCTGCGCCCGCTCCGCCCCCCGCGGCTCCTTCCGGCACCGGCACCCTCGGCGCACGCACTCGGCTGGGTTCGGCTGGGTTCGGCTGGACTCGGCTAGGTTCGTCTGAGAGGGCGTCGTCTCTCCGGGTTGCCTTCGGCTAGGTTCGGCTGAGCTCGGCTCGGTTCGGTGTGACTCGTGTGTGTTCGGCCAGGTTCGGTTCGGCTCCTCGTGGCTCCGCCCCCCCGAGTCCCCGCCCAGCCCCGCCCCCGGCTCCGCCCTCTTAAGCCGCAGCGGCGCTCCCGGAAGTGCCACGTGTCCGCAGTGCGGCTGCGCGCGCCGCCCGGCAGTTCCGGTGGGTCCGTCCCCCCCGCCCGGGCCGGCGCCGCCACACGGGCGGCTCCGAGCGCACCGGCCGAGCCATGGCCCAGCCCGCCGGGGCCCCCGCCGGCCAGCAGCCCTACAGCAACGGTGAGTGCGGGGCAGGCCCGCGGGGCTCGGCGCGGGACAGGGCCTGGCGGGACGGCTCCCGCCCCGTGACGCTTCCCCCGGGCCCAGGCCGCCCTTCGCCCCGGGGCAGCGGGTGCAGGGGGCCCCTGCCCACGGGCAGAGCGCGGGGAGGGGGTTCGGGGGATGGTCCGTTCGCTGCCCSGGTCGGTGGGTTACACACACGGCTGAGCTCGGCGGTGCCCTCAGCGCAGCCCGGTCACTCGCGGCCCGGGGCTAACGCAATTGAATTRGGGAGGAAGGCACAGAAGGAGCGGCAGCGGTGCCGGGCTCCTGTCTGACCCCGGGAGCGGCTGGGAACCCTGGCCGAGGAGTGCTGGGGGCGGGGGTGAGGTGCTGTCGGACCAAGCCCTGCCCTAAGTGTTACTGAGGAAAACACAGAGCGGCTCATTAGACTAAATAAGCCTTCATTCTGATTTATTTTCATGGCACAAGTATCCCCGAGTGCTTTTGTCTGTCGGTATGAAGGACAGTGCCTTTCAGAGAGTCCGTGTCTGTGCTCCCGGGTTAACACACACGGCTCGAAGAGCCCCGGACTGTCCCTTAGCCCGGGTGGGTGGGTCCCTGTCGGTGACACGGGTGTCACAGCCGAGGTTTGACCCTTTGGAACGGGGCTGTACATGTGGCACTGTGGTTATCGCTGAGCTCAGCCTGCGGCACAGCGGGGCTTTCTTATCTTGTCATTCTCGTAAAGCCGACATTATCTGGTTCTGTGTGCTGCAAACTGGGAAAGTCTTGATTACTTCCTTCCCCTCAAAATGTATCTGTTTGAAACGAGATATTGAAGGTGAAGCTGAACTTACTAGCTAGTGTTTTAAGATAGAAATAAGAAAATCAAGGCCAGCCTTGTGTCTGTGTCTGTTTTCGTTGCATGTGTGCAAATCTGTGCTGATGGAAGTGTCTCCTAATTTCACATACACAGACTGCATCCTCTGCACTTGCTTCCTTAATTACACACTTGTGTGTTTCAGTAGCTGTGCTGCATCATAAGCAGTTCAGTTATAATGAGATCTTTAGATATTTCTTCCCCCTCCTCCTGCACAGTGCATTTATTCCTTTTCTTCAAAGTCATCAGCAAAACAACAAYTTGCAATTAACTGTGTAGTTGCTTCTAGGGTCAAGACAGTGGGAAAAGATGAATATAGTGAATATAGAGGCTCTGTTCAGGAGAGCTTATGGTCTGAGCAGAGACTGTACRAAGAGAACGTTGGCTAATGGAGTRACTGAGTGGGATGATTTACAGACTGGCATTGCTTTGTGTTTGCTGATTTCCCTAGTGTCAGATTAAGCACATAATGGAAGTTATGGAGAAGCAGTCAGAGAAAGAGGAATTTCAGGCTACTGAGCTGTCAGGTGTATGAAAAATAATGAACTGAAATGTAGAGTTATGCAAATACTAGGTAATAAAATTAAACAGTCGTTGAGTATGTTAGAGATAAGGTTTGGCTTGCTGGCCTTTGAAATAAATCAAATTGTTCAAGCATGGACTGCTCATAGCATTGTTTAAAATAATTGCTGAGAAGGTGCTGTGATCCTTGACCTTTACACTAAAACCAAAGCTTTATAAAACAGTGTTGAGGGTACTGAGAGTGCTGAAGTGGTGCTTATAGTCTGTGAGGAGAGAAGACTGTCAGCAGGATGATAAATTGTTCTATAGCTGTCAGCCCTTCCTTGCAACTTGTTGCTTGCTGAAGTATTTGCAGGTAACTCCCTGAGCTTGCACATCCACCAAGGCAGTAAAAATYGTCACAGCAGCACCGTGTGCTGCCCGGGAAATTGTTTAGCACAGAGCATCGGGTTGCTTAGCAACAACCTTCCTCTCCTTCATTTCTGTTTGTCTGTTAATAGGACCAGTATTCTGTACTCATTTAACTGCAGGTGTCTAATTTGTTTTCCAGTTGATAGATCTGAAGTGCAAACAAGAAGGAAAAACAATTCTTTTAGGATCGTTTTGCTTKTCTCACGTGATATCTTAACACGGTACTTTGATGTCATGAGGTGCTTTAGATGCTGTTGGGTTTGGAATCCAGTGGGTCAGAGTCAGCTGAAGTGGACACTGGTGGCAACTAATCCTRTTGCATCTGTTGGGATGTAACTTTTCAGAGTGAATATCTTTACATCTCCCTGGAGCTTGGAGAGCTTGTGGTTGGTGAAAGMGATGTTCTGAGTAGCTGGCTTGGAGTAGGGGACAGAGAAATCCTGTGTGGTGCAAAATGTGACTTGGATTATAGCCTTCCACTTTAGTACTTTGACCATTTTATAAAACTATCAAGCAACCKTGATACACATTCTGGTGCTGTTCATGATCTCTTAGAAATGTTWAATGGCCTTGTGTTGCTGCAGAGCAGACTTTTGCTGTCAAACAGGTGGCCTTTATTGCTAACTCATTTCTGTGGTCTCGAAGTGTTGGCTGCTTTGCTGCTGTGCAGGTGAAGTAGCTCTTCGGTCCACACAGAATACCTTGTTTGTTTTTGGCTTCACAGAAAACCAGCAGCATTTGGGAAAAACTGGACAGCCCAGATACTCTTTGATGGGCCTCAGTAAAGAGGTCAGGTCAAGATGGATACCTGGTGGCAACAAAACAGCGAGTCCTGAAAAGTTTTTGTGCACTGTGAAACTCTTTYTAAGGGGTTTTGCCCCTCAGTGCAATTTCTATAGCTTTTTTGGCAGCTTTATGCATGCTTGTCTTGGAAACATGAACTATTCCATGAGAGTCTCAAGACTTTTCATTGTGCTTCTAACTTTAAAGATAAAAACTAAAATTGGAACATTGTGCTGTGGTGAATTTGATTTTTATTTTTACATAAGGTGCCATAGAAAATACCGAGTAGGTCAGTTTTTTATATCACCTCACTTCCACTATTTTATCCTCAAGCAGGAAAAACAATGCATAAGACAGCCATCCAAGTACTTTGATTTCTCCCTGGGATAGAGAGTCATGCCCTAAGGCAAAAAAGTCAAGTTATGAAATTAATTYGTATTTGTTCTGTATTTTTCATACAGTTTGTAGTGATTATGTTATATTAGTGTTTGTGGGAATGCAGTCAGAAGGTTTGATGTTAGCAAGTTTAATTGCCAGTAGCATTTGTAAATCGATTGCTGAAAACCCATCTGATACACTGCAGGATAATTTTTGAAAGTTACTCATAACTGTTGASATTTTCATCTGGGTGAGCTTATTCTTTAAAGACCCTTGATTGTAGAGAATTATTAATTGCAAATATTTATGAGCAGCATTGCAAGGACAGTAGGGTATAACTGAATTTCTTAACTGGATGATAAATTGCATGTTGCAGTTAACGGCTGGAGAATAATATGGTGTGTACTTTTTATGAGAAATAACAGAGGCAGTGAGGATGAGATCACTGGCACTGTAGTAGTTAGTAATATTCAGTGAATTAACAGCTGTGTGTGACCCAGACCCTAAGGTTTTCTGGGGAATGAGGAGCTGAATGACCAGTGCACTRTTTATCCTAACCAAGAATTTCAATATATTCTGCCATTAGCTTTATTTATTGTCAGAAATGTCTGAGTTACTTTAACTTGGAAATGTGAACGTGCTTACCTTTCAGAATTTAGCCATTATGTTTCAATAGGAAACCAACCATCTTTGTTTTAATGTGTCACTGTGTGTGTGCAATGTCTCCAGTATCTAAGCTTTGTTTTCAGGGGATGAGGAGAGCCACAATGTGACTGGCTGAACTGAATGATACAACACTGGAAAGTGTTTTGGTAGTTGTGAGGGGGTCATGGCTGGCTGTGACCTGCAGTATCGAGAGTGTTCTGCTCTGAAGAAGTTCACTCAAATTGATAGTCTCTCCTCAGGATGTCAATTTTGTTGCAATGGTATGAACAACCTGTAGTAGTACGTTGCTTGATGGAGCTCTTATTGCGCTGAAAATTCCATGGGATTCTGTCAACCTGTTCCTCTGTAAAGCAGGAATCTGATGATGCTCTTGCCAGTATTATTTACTGTTTGAAGAGTTATTAACTTTTCTCAATTTTTTTTCTTCAAATGTGTAAAACTTAGTTCATGTATGCCAACCAGTAAATGCATAAAGAGCATTATTAACCTGTCAAGTTTTATTTTCCTAACTGGTGAAAGATAATTCTGTGTTGGTGACCAGTTGGCCATTCACATGAGCAGTTTGTGTATGAATAGTCCTCTTACTAAAATTAACTGCAGAAACTTTCATAGATTAACTCTGTCACTTGAGAAGTAGCATGGTGACCTATGSTGGCACTTGGCTGGCGGTGTCATTGTGGTGAGCTGATGCGTAGGTTGGTGTCAGTCAYCATGTGAAATGGAGTTCTTGCGCAATGCATCTTCCGCTTTCGSTCTGCTCACATGTGCTGCTGCCAGCAGTGTGGGACAGTGCTGTTCTGTGGGCAGCTTGCTTTTGGGAGTTTCTGAAGACTGGAATAGGATCCCGTGTGAGTTTCCATCTGGGAGCATGGATGGTACTGGAATGCTTAGTTATTGCAAYGTTACTGTAAAACAAAACAAAGATCTAAGTGCCAATAGCAGAATACTGCCAAATTTATGTCCCTTGCAGGAGTACTGCTGTCACACATGATGGTTTAAATTAAAAATYATTTGGAGATTAATAAAGTCCTAAGGAAAGACATTCACAGGAACGTCTTTTATTTTTGGAAGTGATTCACAACACTGATTTCCTAAAGAATGTAGTTTTTTTCCCTTCCAGGTCCTGTTCCAAATCAGCTGATGCATTCCCCAGATGGCCAGGGATACAGCCCTGTGGTTCCAGGATCGTACTCCCATCAGATGCCGGCAAAGGTTCCTCCACATCAGTCTTCTGGACAGTATAGCTATAGTGGCCCTCAGAATGTTTCTCAATTAAACAGTTACCAAGGACCTGGCCAGACTCTCAACAGACCACCAGTGGCAGCTTTCTCTGGGTCACCTGTACAACAGCCAGGTCCTGTTCCACAAGTGTTGCCACCTGCATTGCCGAACTCAGCTGCTGTATCGTCTGCTGGGAGCTTTCCTCCTGGAGCCAGCCCACCGGTGCTTTCAAACTGGCAGTACAGCCAGACTCCTGTGAGTCAGCCACTTGGGGCTCAAACAAGCCATTTGGCTCATGTGCCTGGGACAGGGTCAGCTCAGCCACCGACSTCGTTATCAGGAAGTACAAATCCTCCAGGGAGTTATCAATATGCTGCTTCTCCAGGGGGTCCTCCGMTGCAGAACAGCTACATGAAGCCAGGTAACCAGAATTTTTTAATATTTTTGCCAATAACCATTTTTCAGTGTCCTTTTGAAATAGTGAGTGTAAAATTGACTCTGCAGTGACATTATGCTTGTGGAAGAAGATTGTCAAAGCAGATACACCCATGAGAAACACAGGGGTGCTTTCTTTGGGTTAGAAATGGAAGTTCTGTGCACAGTTGGGTGTTTCAGCTGGCTAGAGCAGGTAACTCCTGGATGGTGTCTCATTGTTTGGGTGATGCTRTTTCTGTGACCTTCACCATCTTCTGGGGTGGCTGTTGGAGCATTAGCWTGTCTCAGTCAAGGATGTCACAATTGAAAATTGTAGTTCTGTTTAGTGAGCATGGTCATCTTGATGGATTTTTCTGTAACCATTTTATTCAGGTAGTTTTCTGAACAGCCTCAGTTARGTTGATGCAAATAACTGGAGCACAGCCTGGAAAGAAAACTAAAAAGCATTCTGTGCTGTTGAAATAGAGGTCAGTTCAATGGAAAGCTTCCTTGCCCCAAACTTGTAATTTTGCACATTTAATGAAAATCGTCAGTCTTCAGAAAGTGCTCTAAAAGTAGGAGACTTTGTTCCTGCTGCTTGACTGCTGGTATATGCAGTGGTAAAAGCTTTTYTAACACTAAATAGCTCTATTGTTCAACTTGTGATTATTATGGAAACACAGTTAATACTCAAGTTTTTCTTTGCCAAACTGCTGTCTGTTGTTACAGAGTTTTTCCTGACTGAGCATGCAAACAGGACCTAGGTACAGAAATATTTTCCATGTAAAAGCAARTAATTTTTCTTGTGAAGTGCTTTTAGCCTCATTAGAGATTTTTATTTGTGCTAGTTTTTTGCTTTAAGTCTGCCTAATTTTGTTATGCTGTTCAAAATGTCTTAAGCTCACAGAATTTATGAAACTACTGCTGGTACTTAATTGGAATAARCAGGACTTTGGAATTAGTGAGGAAAATGCAGAGAAATTTCAGAAAGTGGCATATGAAGTGAGAGCAAATGTTTGGAATAAGTAATTTTTATATCCATTCAATCCTCCTGAGCCATTTGCCTGGTAGTTTTTTATATAACAACAATCACTTCTAAAATTAATTTAGCTTGTTTGGTGATCCCTCCAGACTTAGTGATAAAGTTGGAATGTTTTCTGTACATCTTGAAATTCTTGCCAAYGATAGCAACAAAAAGCTGAAAGAGATCAATAGGAACAGGAACCCAGAATGAGAAAAGCATGACAGAAATAAACTGAAGTTGTGAGACCCTCTACCCACATGTTAGGATTTATATATCTCATGCTGTTCATCCTCTGAATAAGAGGAATATTCAGAATTCAATCTGTGTGTTTTTGTAACAAAACTTTTGTGACTTTTTTCAGCTGGGTTAAACTCCTCCTAAAAGTTAATCTCTTTACAGGATCTGCACCTCCACCAGTGACTCAGCCTTTAACTCCACTCCACCCTCCCAGGCCACCTTTAGGACCTCCACCAACTGGTGGTCCACCTAGGCCACCAACAGCGATACAAGGACCACCTAGTGCACAGTCTCTGCTAAAATCAGCAGCAAACCAAGAAGGTAAGAAACAGTTTGCTCTTCATGTTGAATTCAAACATGGCAACTTAATATAATATGCAGCCTTTAAAGTCGAGCATATTGTTCTATTAGAGGCTCAAATTGTGAAATTAATACTTATACACCTAATAATTTAATCTAAAAAGAGCAGGTAAGGACCTGGAAAGAAGAAAAATCCTTGCAGACAGATGTTAATAAAATTTAAGAGATTAACACTTAAAAACAGATTTCCAGTTGCTGTTTTACTTGGGACGGTCTCTTGTAGTTGGCGTTGCTTTTTTTTTTTTTTWAATGTGTTTCAAAGTAACAATGAAATTCTCATTTCTCTGCATCCCTGACTGATGTGAGAATAAAATAATGCATGTATGACTTCATGTATCATCATTCTACAGGGGGAGCTAAAATATGACCCCTGTAATTCCTTGCTGTTTATGTAGCTGTACTTTATTCTTCCCCTCTGTGTAAAATCACTGAAACACACATCTTGCATTTGTTAGCTTTCTAAAGGAAGTTACCAGAGACTGTGAAGTGTCAGCCGTTGCAGACAGMTACCTGACTGTGTTTCCTGTGTGCCCTGCACAAATATGCCATTGTTTAAGAGCTCCTCAGGGCTCTGTATCAGACAGACTCCAGTTGTTTGGCATTTAGTGCCCATGCTAGATAGGGCCACATGCGAATCAGCAGTTCATTTTTGCATACATAGTTCTGTCAAAGCTGTTGGTTCCTTGCATGTTCAGATTGACAGTTTCTTGTGTGTTAGCTGTGTGGGTACAAGAATAGTATGTTCAGATTTAGCTTAGTTTGTAATGTATTATATGTATTAGAAACAGCTTTTGCTTAGAAAATATTTCTTCATAATGAAGAGAAACATTTTCACAGCCCTGGAAAGAAAAATTTTTGGTCTGTGAAGCAGGTTGACTGCTAGCAAGATTCAGTGTGTAATGTTAGYGCCTTTTATTGGGTCATCTTTGAAGATTTTAATAAAAGATGGTAATAAAAATAGCGTACCTACTTCTCCTTAGCAATATATAGTTGTGTTAGTATATTTAGACATAGCTGGCTTACCAAAAACTGTCCTTTGGGAGCACTCTCTGGGTTTCAATGTTTTTCCTATCTTAGATTGAATTTTGATCCTGACTGGTATGTGACTGTGTCAGAGCTGTTTGTGTTYGGTGAGCAGTAGTGGACTAAGAGTGTAAGTGTAGGGAATTTGGTGTTGCTGTGAATTATCAGTGGAAAAAGTTCTTTAGGGAACTCTAAGCTACAGGGTAGTTGGAAAACTGCAGTGAGCCTGAAGAGACCTCCTCTGCTGAGGGAGTTTCCCCTGACCCTTTACTGCATGTCAGCTTGGAAGCTATAAAAAATCCGTAATCTAAAGGAATCTTTATTTTTCTTAAAAAAAAAAAAAAAGGATTGTGAGGTTTTATGAGTGTGCTTTGTTGAGGCCATGTCTGCAGGGGACTTGAGAGAAAGAGGCCAGAGTGTATATTTAATTMAGTTTCATCCTGGGTCAAAACCAAAAAAACCCAGTAGATTGAAACTATGCTTGTCTTAATATTCGTCTAGCAAGTAGGATCTTTTTTCAGTTACCTTGTTAAAACTTCTTCATAACTTATTCAAATTTTTCCTGTGGTTGTTTCTYTTAAAAGGTGATGCCAGATCTGCTGCCAGTGATGGGTCTGTAGTGCAAAACAGCTACGATGCAATTGAAGGTGGTGGCCTCATGGGTAAGGCTTTGAGAGTAAAAATGGTTGTTATTATTATGGAACTTTAAAGAGTCTGGGAAAAATAGAAGTTTAAGCATTTGTRTACAAACATATGTACTTGGTTCAATGCCTGTCTTGAAGCTGAATGTGAAATTTGAAGCATTGGCAATTAGCATGTCTTTGCCTGTAATATGTAAAGCAGATGAGAGCGTTTTGCAAAGTTGACAGCAGCTATATTTTTTAAACTTGGAAAGTAAACAAGCAGCTCTCCTGTTGTACTAATGCCTCAAGTAAGATACTGTTCTTCAGCAATTAAGTGTCTGTCTACTCTGCTTCCAGCAACTCCACATCATTCTCCTGCAGCCCCAAATCTTAAGATGAATAGAAGTGTTGGGTATTCTTACCCTGCCTTACCTCCAGGCTACCAACATACTTCTCCACCTGGAGCACCAGGAATGCATGCATCTGCTTTGCAATATCCAGATGGATCAAAACATTTCCACCAGGTAAAGRTGTCTGGTTTTTATCTCAGTACTACCTCTAGCAGCAGGGTGTGGGTAAAGAAAAGTGATGATTGGTGTATGTTGGGTGTCCCTAGGGTGCTGCTTCTTCTATTTCCTGTTTGGGCACCATTTGTTTAAGAGAACTGACATAGCCCAGAATTAAAGCTTTTGCTTGTGCCTCGGTACCCGTTTGGAAAAGCTGTGTGCCAGCTCTTTTTGAAGTGTTCCACCCCCAAATCTGTTTAGGATGTTGCTTTTGAAACTTTCAGCTGTTTTTGCCATGTTTCTCTTCCCTGGCATTATTACTGTTAGCTGAAGTATTTGGTGTTTTTTTTCCTGAACTTTCAAAGAGAACTGACCAACACTTTTGCCAGCTGAGCCTCTGTATTTCAAAAGTTTTATAGCCAATTTATGCTAACTTTTTCCTATTACTATGTTACTTGCCTAAGTCAAAGTTCATGTGACAACCAGTATTTCTAAATATATTGATACAATGGCAGTTAGTACATGAGCAAAATAAACTGAAAGGGAAATATGTGTGCTTTTAAATGAACTATGGGGTTCATCCTAGTAATTGGTGCTTATTTTTGAAATTTTATTTGTCTCTAGCCTGCTCTGGGCACTAATCACTTAACTGCATCCATGGGTAGCCTGAATCTACARCAGGAAGGGTTAAGACCTGTGAATCTTCTTCAAGAAAGAAATATTCTTCCTACCACCCTCCTGAAGGCTCCTGTCCCGAACTTGCATGAAGACATCCAGAAGCTCAACTGCAATCCTGAGTAAGACTATGCATTTGCTATAATTCATCAAAATAGATAGAAGTGTAAATTCCTACTTATWAACATAACTTCAGAAAATATTTTCTTAGTTTTATGAGTAGAAARTATTGAAAATGGGCTTCATTGTGTTAAGATAAAGGCAGTAAGTGGGTTTAACTTTGAAGAGATGAAAATCATCTGTGTCGAAAGTATGAGGAAAAATTTGCTTACAAGGCAGCTATAGATAGGTACAGTACAAACATTTTATGGCTGGCAGTGAGTATGGATGAGAAAATGTATAAAATAGGAGTTAATTGAGTTAAGTGAGGTACATGTGCATGAGGTACATGTCCATGAAGAAATATGGGCGACGTCTGCATTGAAAGTAACCATTTAAAACAATGGAGTAAATGAATATTCWAACAAGAGGCTGTTTCTCTCTGTGCATAGCTAGGGACTCCTGCTTTGCAAATATTTTTGTGGTAGATAAAGGAAATAGCAGTGCTTTTGTGACRTTCATGCAAACAAGCTGGACAGGATTTGCAAAACTGCCACACACATCTGCACTTTGTGGAAGCTGCTGAGTGCTCGAGACTCAGAATTTGTGGGGTTGTTTATAGTTACTAAGTTTTTAAAACTACTTTTAAAACTTTGCTGGTTCTGATTTATTCCAAAATAGCRTTTAGTATATAAAGATTTGGTGCARCTTTGAATATTGTTAGGCTTAACTTTGACTTGAGTGACTGTAATGACACTCAGTTCTGTGTAAAGAGCCATTTGTGTAAAATAATAACTCCAAGTATGTACTATGGGTCARGTTTAGACAGAAACAAAATGATTTGACAGAGATCCTTTATCTGGAAATGTAAATTCACCATCAACAGCTCTAGAAAAATACACTGTACTACTGAAATCATAATTTATTTTCTGAAAGCCTCTGAAAATAACCCTTTGTCCTCCATGTAGGTTGTTCCGCTGCACCCTGACTAACATTCCTCAAACTCAGGCCTTATTGAATAAAGCCAAACTTCCYTTGGGGCTCCTGCTTCATCCTTTCAAAGACTTATCGGTATGAGAAATATTCAAAACTTTACATGCTGAAATATCAACTATGCCTTTACTAGAGTCCAGACAATGGACAATGAATTATAAAACACGGGCAGGTGTCTTGTCCAGAAGAACTACCATAGTAACTGATATTTCCTTGTTTCATACAGATCACTGTAATTTTTCTGAATTATTTTCCCTACCATTTTTAAACCTTCAGGTCTCACTTCTTGATGAAAAAGAAACTCTCCCAAATCTCAAAAAAAAGCTTAAAGGCAGCACAGAATTTGGACCATTGCAGAAGGCAACACATGTGAATTCCAGGTTGTCACATACAAGTTGTAGTTACTAATTTCAAACCTGGTGCTAATTCTAAACTCAAGACTTGACAAAGTTGAAGGGGTTTGGATGTCATGAGATATCCAGGAGAYTTTGAATTTAGCAGTGTCTCTCTTAAACATTGTTATTTTTTTTTCTCAGTTTAATTAATTTTTCAAAGATGTGGGCTTTTTTTCCCCTACTTCTTGATCTGTATTGGGTGCAGGATTTGATCTTAAACCATCAGTGTAAAATTCAATAAATTAGAGGCTTGGAAAGGGAATCCACACAGTCACATATGTTAGAACTGAGTTCCTACCTGTCGTGTTAAGGAATTGCAGGGATGCTGTGAGGATGCAGAAGTACTCCTTCTTTCAGCAAGGATGCTTTGACTCACTAGCCAGCACGGTGTAGGTGGTGTTACCACAGATGAACAGCTGKAAGGTGAGGATGCTTTAAAACAGGAAGTTTTTCTTTTCCAGCAATTGCCAGTGGTCACTTCCAGTATTATTGTGAGATGCCGTTCCTGCCGGACATACATTAACCCTTTTGTGAGCTTCCTAGACCAAAGGAGATGGAAATGCAATTTGTGCTATAGAGTCAATGATGGTAAGTTTTAAATGTGCTTTAAAGTTTTGCTATTAACCTTTCCYACCTTGGCCTTTGAGACTGGAATGTGTTTGGCCATATCAGTAGGAGGATTGTTGTCAGTCACATTGGGAGTCATGTGAAATGTTTCCCAGGGATAGTGGTGTCCCTAAAGGAACACAGTAAGCCCAAGTGGTCCCTGCAAGTACTCCTGCAGGTGTAGGTGAACTACACTCCCTAGTGTAGTTCTCCAGCTGTTGTCTTACAGCCACAAAAGTTGATATATTTGCTTTAAAATGCAGCACAGCTGATGCTAGTGTGAAATACTAACATATAAACTTATCTGCATAGTTCCTGAAGAATTCCTGTATAATCCTGTGACAAGAGTTTATGGAGAACCTCATAAAAGACCTGAAGTCCAGAATGCTACTATTGAATTTATGGCTCCATCTGAATACATGGTAAGGCTTTATTTATTTATTCTCTCCCTTTGTTTAATTTTCAGAGGGTAGTCAGAGAAGGCTTTGTTTCAAAGGATGCTTTCCAGTTCAGTAGAGTAGTTGTTGCCTTAAGGAGTGTATTTTTGAACTCGTGGAGAGAACTTCAGTGTTCATTTCCAAACATTTATAATGTCAAAGTTCTTCTGTGTTTAGAGTATGTAGATATCTTCTGGAAGAAAGCTAGAATTCTGGTGTTACCAAATTAGAGGCAAATGCATTCAGAAATATAATCTATCATCTAAAGTGTGCTGTTTTAACAGTTTAGAATGAATAAACCCAATCTAACAAAGGTTATTTGAAAATTAAAGGTAATGTTTTCTTTGCTCAGCTGCGTCCACCTCAGCCCCCAGTGTACCTCTTTGTGTTTGATGTCTCTCACAATGCAATAGAGACAGGATACTTGAATACAGTSTGCCAGACCTTGTTAGACAATCTCGACTTGTAAGTATTTTTTTCTTAATGTCCTGTTTTCATTTCTCTTAAGAAACTTGTGATAGACACCAACATGCCAGTCCTTTTTGTTTGGAAGAGAAATTTCCTAGTTTGGGCTAGCAATGGCCAGTGTAGTGTTAAAAYGTGCCATAAAGCTGTAGTCTTTTTCCCATCACAGTACACCAGTATGAAAGGTAATTTTGAGGCTTGATTTCACTCTTTCCTATATGCTTCACCAGTCCCCCAAAGAATATAACCATCATGTTTATGATATATTTTGAACTGTTTTTTAAAAACTGAAATTTAGATAAATATTTGCTGAAAAGAGTCATACATCTAATAAAATTTTCATAAAAGGCTACTGTCTGAACTTGTTATTTTGCAGTTCTTCTACTTCTGGGTACCCTCTTTAAAGGTTTTTAYATGCTTGCTAGGTGACTCTACTATGAGCTCCTTTTTTGTTGTGGTTTTTGTTCTCTACAAAATGACTTGGTGAAGCTCTTGCAGTCTAGCTGTTAAACTAATTACTTGGTAGCAAAAATGGAGAGATGCAGTGGTTTGAAAAAAAAAAAAAGAAGCCTGCAGAAATGAAATTTYGTCTTGTTGAACACCATATGTCTCATTTTCAGGCTTCCTGGGAACACTAGAACAAAAATAGGCTTCATAACGTTTGACAGCACAATCCATTTCTACAGTCTTCAGGAAGGTCTCTCTCAGCCTCAGATGCTTATAGTTTCAGATATTGAAGGTATGCAGAAATAAATTCTGTGATCAGTRTMTATTAATGACTGCTGGTTATGACAGCCTTTAAAAATATGTATCTGGTGGGAGTTTGTAGATCACATCATTAGTCTCTCTAGTAAAGGCTTTAGCAGTAGCATATGTGTGAGTTTGTTTGTGGAGACATCTCCCTGATATCTGAGCAATGCTGTGGCTGCTCATGACTTCAAACATGAAGACAGCCTTCCTGACTTCCAGTTTAATTTGTACAATTCTTTASATTCCTTTTGAAATCCCTAATACTGGTGCTGGATACATTTCTATAGATTTTTCTGGTGGCTGGTGCTTAGTGCTCGTTCTTCTGCCTTTTCTTTCAAGTCACCTTTCACTGGATGTTATTGGGCAAGGTAGAATGAACACTGGAAATATTTGCTATATGGTTTATTTAATAGTCTTGATTATCTTTTAGCCCTCTCAATTGCTACTCTAACATGGGATTTTAGGCATAAGAATGCTTATGAGAAAAAAATAAATCCACATAATTATGTTTACAAACGTTAATACGCTGATACTGTGTGCCTTTTCCAATAAGTATAATGCTTGGCAAATAAAGTCAGAGGAAGCTTAATGTGTTTTTTAAAGGTAACTCAAATATTTTTTTCCCTTTCAGATGTATTTATACCAATGCCAGAAAACTTACTAGTAAATTTAAATGAAAATAAAGAGGTAAGAAGCAAGAACTTTCTTAAATAACTAGTGACATTTACATAGTCGGGAAAATGTCTGGTAATTTTTTTATTTATTAATGCTCATTAACACCTGTTGTTCAAATGCCGGGTTTGAAGCAAAAAAGAGGTCTTTCTATGTTACTGTAAATTCTTACCAACCTGAAACAAGACAGTACTTCAATTTTGCTAGGACTTTCTCTTTACTACTTTAATRTTGGAAGTGTTAATACTTGATTATGCTCAACAATCAGCTCTAAATAAAGTAGAAAACCATGAAGACTCAGGAGCCTAATATTGTTTCCTCATTTGTAGCTAATTCAAGATCTGTTGAAGACTTTGCCACAGATGTTTACTAAATCCCTGGAAACTCAGAGTGCTCTAGGGCCTGCATTACAGGCTGCCTTYAAACTGATGTCGCCCACTGGAGGTAGAATCACTGTCTTCCAGACACAGCTCCCATCGGTGGGAATGGGAGCACTAAAGTCACGAGAAGAGCCAAACCAAAGAGCAACAGCAAAGGTTAGGAAAGCAAAAAGGTTGAGAGTACTAACAACCCTGTTCTGTGCATRTGGGTGGTTCTGGGATTGCCTCTTCTGGGTTCATTTTGTGTTTGTCTTGCTCYTTTGTTAAARTASMRRAAAAAAMCAAAAGAAAAACCAAGAAAACTATATAAACACAAATTAATGACCTGATTTTTTTAAAATAAGATATATCACTGTAATCAATGATGGAGAATTGATTATTAGTGTCCCTGGAAACAGGCAATAAATGTATGAATCCGTTTGAATTTCCTTTGTGTTTTGTAATACTCCTCTGTGTTAACAGGACATACATCTGACACCATCGACTGATTTTTACAAGAAGCTRGCCTTGGACTGCTCAGGGCAGCAGGTTGCGGTGGATTTATTTCTTCTTAGTGGGCAATATTCTGAYTTGGCTTCTCTAGGTAAGTCATATAAAGCTGTTTTGGGGCATGTARTTCTTGTATTTTGAGCAAATGGATAGAAACTACATTAACATTCAGTAGATGAACCTGATTTGAATTAATCTAGTGTGTCAAGATGCAAACTTGTCCTTGCTGAGYRGTGACAGTGAATAGAATGTAATCTTTCAGTCCTGATTTAACCTACTTATTTTCATGCCCTCCCTTAATGAGTCAGGATTCTTGTGCTACTGATATAAGCAGCTGAAATACTTTCTTCCTTTTTATGCCTTTTAACCATCCTTGTAATTGTCTTTAGAGCAAGTTTTATTAGCATTTTAATTTATTTTTTTTTCTCTATAAACCAAACTTTAAAATGACAGCAATTTCAGGTCAATGGAAAATGATTTCACACGTGAAACTATCACATACTAGAGTATACAGTTGTGTTACATCTATGTGTATCTGAATGATTTGCAGGTGTGAACAGTTTAATAATTTAAAGACTGCAGCAGCAACTGTCTGACTCTCCAATGTGTGCTGGTTTTGTTTCAGGTTGTATATCAAGGTATTCTGCAGGTAGTGTCTACTACTACCARTCTTACCATCATAAACACAACCCTGTCCAGGTGGAGAAATTGCAAAAGGAACTGAAGCGATATTTAACTAGAAAAATTGGGTTTGAAGCTGTCATGAGGATAAGATGCACCAAAGGTTTGAATTCACCTTCTTCGATTTTTGGGGGGGTGGAGAAGAGGAAAGTGGGTGTTTGCTACTGAAATATTTTGTTTGGGATTTTATCTGTTTTGTAAACTTAAATGATTAAAAGGCAAAGATCAGAAAAGTAAAATTCAGTACCAGGGATCAGACAATTTAAKAAAGACTTTATTTGCAGTGTGTTTTCTGGCACCCAAGTTCCATTTTACAGTGGTCAAAACTAGAAATTTTGTTGGACTACTCTTTCAATAAGGGACTGTTTTTGTAATCTAGAGATTTTCTACTACTCTGCATTGGTTTGCCTTGCAAATTCCCTCTTTTTGCTAGGCTTTATGGATTCTTGGGGTCAGTTGTCTKTTGGGGTATTTAGCTTTTCTGAAGATACTGTGTTTCATTAAGAGGCAACATTCTGACACAGAGTCATCTACAGTGAGGGCAGATATGTAAATGGTGCCTGTACTTYACAACTATAAAATCCAAATTGATTCATGATTATCTTGTAGGTCTTTCCATTCATACTTTCCATGGGAACTTCTTCGTACGATCGACAGACTTGTTGTCATTACCCAATGTAAACCCAGATGCGGGATATGCTGTGCAAATGTCAGTGGAAGAGAGCCTTACTGATATGCAAGTTGTTTCTTTTCAGTCAGCTCTCCTGTACACCTCCAGCAAAGGTAAGGTTAGATTGAGCAAACAGTGGCATTTGTAGTGTTGTTTCATAAAACAAGTATGGAGGCTACAGTTTTCTTTWCTTGCAGGTGAAAGACGAATTCGTGTCCACACGATGTGCTTACCTGTTGTCACAACGCTGAGTGATGTGTACCTAGGGGCAGATGTGCAGGCCATCACAGGGCTCTTAGCCAATATGGGTGAGTGTGCCAAGAGCTTGTTTGGATATGTATGGAGAGTACCCTTAAAGCTCTGAGCAATAATCCTCTGGGAAGAGGCATTAGAAGAAAAGATTCTCCCATGTTCTAAGAGTATTTTCTGAGTTGCAAACCTAAGAGAGTTTTGGTTTTAATGCTTGGCTTAGRTGAAGGATCAGTAGAGCTATGTGTAATCACTTGGACTTAGGCTTAGTCTGGTGCATCATTGTGGGCCCCCAGCTTTTTCTGAAGCACTTGACTTCTCCTAGAATGTAGTAAAACCTTATTAAGATGCATGGACATGTATGATAAAAAGAGAGAAGGTAATGCATGTGACTGTATTCCTGCTGAGGGAGGAAACCTCTCTTACTGAGCCTTGTGCTCTGTTTTTAGCTGTAGACCGCTCTGTTTCTGCTACGCTCAGTGATGCTCGGGATGCCTTGGTCAACGCAGTGATTGATTCTTTGGCTGCTTATCGCTCATCCGTGCTGACCATCCAACAGCCTGGGCTCACAGCTCCCCACTCACTGCGGCTCTTCCCACTTTATATTCTGGCACTCTTGAAACAGGTAAGGGGAGAGGAAGCCAAGCAAGAGAAGGATTCTGTTTGGCAGGTCAGCCTGAAGTAAAAGGACAATGCTTTGCTGGAGAATGATTTAGTTCAAAAGCAGGAATTTAGAAGTGTATGTAAAACCAAAAGTATAAATGTTTTAAGCAACGGAAGAGCAAAATAATAAAGACACTGACTAGGGTAGAGAAYGTGTCAGAGTGTTGATAGTGCTTTCTCAGGAGTCTCAGTTTTGTGCATTTCTGGAAATGTAGATCCACACAGCAGTTCAGTGTGGATTAGAAGAGAGCTGGGTGGGTGGCAGAGAGGGAGTTGGCTGGCTGCTCTTGCAACAGGTTTGAAGCATTACACAGTATTTGCTCAATGTAAGTCCCTGAACTGATACTAGAAGTCATTTAAATGTTGGACAAACTGGTTTTGTGTTTCAAAGAGACATTTTGGATTTACACTTCTTGATTAGGAATTAACATCCTGAGCTTTTTTGTGTGAAAGGCTTAATAGGCATTTGACCTAGTCAAGTGGGAGRAGTGAGCCCTACTTTGATTTATAGCTGTTTTTTTTTGGTCCCAACGAGCAAGGACTATCTCTTTGTTGTAAATCCAATCCTAAGATTCTGTACATCAAAGCCAATTGTAAACTGTTCCAATACTTATTCTTATATATTTCATTAAATAGCATTTTTGATGTGTTCGAGAGATGTATGTATTTCAGGGTGCTTTCATCTCAGCTKTAGTGTTCACTAGAAAGGATTGATGGTGCCAGGTAAAGGTTAATTCTAAAATTCAGAAATGGAATAATGAGACTTGTAAGATTTGTCTGTGAAACACTGAAGAGATCTATGGAGAAGTAAAATACCAGCAATAAAATACCATGAGAAAACAGGGCACATCTGTAAGACTTAAGCAGTAGGTGATGTGTGAAATTCAGCCTATCTTGCTTTSCTTTAATGTTAAACTAAAGGCCTGATTGTTTGCAGAAAGCATTTCAAACTGGGACAAACATACGTTTGGATGAACGCATCTTTACCATGTGTCAGGTGAAAAACCAGCCTCTTGTTTACCTCATGCTCATGACACATCCCAGCCTGTACAGAGTCGATAATCTCACAGATGAGGTGAGTCTTTGCCTTGCTACGTAATCTGTTTGATCCCAAAGATTTGTGTGATGTGAAAATAAATGTGTTTAAAATCTCCAAGTTTTCCATATTAAAGTTGCACAGCTAAAATGTGATGTGTCATAYGCTCCCACTTGTTGCATTTATGCATTTTTTTATTTGGAACTGGATTGATGAATTCTGGAGAGAAGCTGTGCATTACTATGRATGGATGGGGAAGGTTTTTTCCTAACTTATTTCACCTTTGCCTTGTGTCATTATCTTGTGCTATAAATCATGTGTACTTAAAGACATTATAATGTGCTTTTTGTCCTTTTGTAGCTTCCTCTATTTTAAARTGTCAAGCCATTTTAAGAATAAGGGATGTTCATGTAAAGCGCTGAATAATTTTAGAAATCACATCTTTGGTACATAACAAATTACATAGTCTAGTTCTAGAAAAAAWTAACTAAGATACAGTAGATGGCATTCACCTTCTCTAAATTAAACATTAAGATTTATTAGTAAATTACGCACTTTAAGTATGGCTTGAGCTAAACTGAGTCCAATTCCAGTATTCAGTGTAATGCATACTACTCTTATTTAATGTTCTGTTCTGTTTTGTTGCATCAAGATGTGAACCACTATTTTTCTTCTTTCTTCATTTAGGGGGCTCTTAACATAAATGACAGAACTATACCTCAGCCACCCCTTCTCCAGCTGTCAGTGGAGAAGCTGAGTAGGGATGGTGCTTATCTTATGGATGCTGGCTCTGTAAGTTGTGTGGTGTGGGGATTAAAAAAAGTATCCAAATTTACTTGGTGTGTTCTTTTTGAGAACTCAAAGTATGTACAAGACTGCTGAGGTGTGTTTTGGGTTGGATTAATGTTGTTGTTGATGGGTGTGTTTCAGGTGCTGTTTCTGTGGATCGGGAAGAACTGTGGGCAGGGTTTTATCAGCCAAGTCCTTGGAGTTCCAAATTATGGCTCAGTACCACAGAATATGGTATGTTCTTGCTCTGCTGTATGCTACTCATACAGTGCTKCCAGAATAGCATTTGCATGAGAATTAAAATACTACTACTGGGTTATTAGCTCTGTAGTTGTATAGATCCAGATTCAAGGAAAGAAATACTTCCGTTAGTTCTTGGAGTTTCTTCCTATGAAAACATGGTAGGAAGAGGCTGATAATGATTGAGTCTCTCAGACCTGTGGGAGCAGACTAAGAATCCTTTCAAACAGTGAGCACAGTGGGTTAGTGGGAAATCCTGTTTGGGGCAACAAAACAGGAATCAATCACAGCTCTGTCATCACCGTTCTGACAGCTAATTGCTGATAGCAGTTCCGTGCTCTTGACTGTTTCAAGCCCTTTCAAAGAAGACAAGACTGAAACTATGCATCACAAAATGTATCTGTTGGGATTTTCTTTATACYTCATGAGTTGGGCTAGTTTAAATGTTCCTTTTTCTGTTTTTCTGAAAAATACCATTTGTATTAATGAAACCTTTTGCCTTTTAGACACATCTCCCAGAACTTGAAACTGCAGAATCCATCAGAACACGAGCTTTTGTTTCTTGGCTGAGAGAACAGAGACCTTTCTTTCCTATACTATATATAATAAAGTAAGTGGGTTTTAACAGTCTTTTTGTTTCTTCAGCACCCTGTTACCAATACATACTTCAATATCACATACTGAACTTTCATAATGGAATTCTTAATGATTGTGTGTGCTCTGCCTGACAGATTTGGCTACAGATATGAGTTGTGAGTTTGTCTCCAATTGAAATTTTAAGACTCAAAAAGGCTAAACATCACAGGAGAATCTTTAGTTAATGTCAGATAAATGAAGTAAATGCTGGTAAGAGCACTTATTAGGATTAATCACTATTAAGGGCTATTCGAGATCCTCTTTTCATATGTCCTTAAGCTCTTGAAATATCTTGCCACTTGACCTGTAACTTTATTAATGCACCATAGCTCTTGGCAAATATTTATACACTTATATTTTTATTTTTAAGGGATGAGAGTCCAYTGAAATCAAGTTTTCTGCAAAATATGATTGAAGACAGAACAGAATCAGCCTTATCATACTATGAATTCCTCCTTCATATACAGCAGCAAGTGAATAARTGAAACACTAGCCTTTGGCTCACTTCTTTAAGGAAAGATTTTGCGGTAAAGAATGATTGTGCTTGTAATGTCTTCATTAAATCTGTGGCCTGAGGCAGTTGATGAGAAGTTCTCACTGTGATTTCAACGAACTAAAGCAAATAAAGGACCACATCTGAGAATCAAATGTGCAACTACACAATATCGTACCTTAAAAAAAAAAATCAAACTGTTGGAACTGGTTGAGCACCTTTATTTGCTGCAAATCGTGTTTTTACTGTAAGTAGTTGCAGCATGAAGTACATTTACAAAGGCAATATTGAAAAGGTGAAATACATTTTGTAAAATAAAGAGTTCTTTGTTGTTCAAAATGTATATTTCTGTAACTTTTTGCTCTTTTTTTTGCTGCTAGATATAAAACCTCACAATACTGATCATGATTTGCAGGGAAATTCTTTCTAAGTGCATCCAGTGATTACAGACAGAGCATCTCAATGTTCAACTTAATGCTCAAAATAGCAAGGAAACAAGTGTTCATTGTGAAATGAACAAATGCTTATGAAGTGTAGAATCTAGTGCTTGGATTGGATTATGGCTAATAGGACTAAAGGTAAGCTTAACCTGGATAAGGTGGCTGAATTTGTTGAAGCTTTTAATAAGTCASTATTCTAATTTTAAAAACAGTGGGGAGGAGTGGGCCCTACATGAGACAGAGATTTTAAAAAGTCATTGGCTGAGTTGGCAGCAAAAGTAGGCTTAGGTAGATGGTAAATTTTACTTCTCTTCAGTAAAAGGAATAGTTTTAATTTCAATTTATGGATGGTGTGGGAGGGGAAGGGCAAGGAAAGTTATCTCAGATTTTGTTTGGTTTGTGTACAGTAGACTTTTGGCTCTTGTTTACATTAACTGAATGTTGGGCCCCTCAGAACTGGTGTGTYTCTGAAGCAAGTTTGTTGGCAGCACTTCAAACCAAATGTTGGTCTGCAACATTGAATATTCTGACATTAAAATTGGAAACTATTTTTCCAAGAACAAAATTATTATATTGCATTTGAAGACCTGTATATAGTTGCAGACATGCCTGGAGTTTTCAAAAAAAGGGGTTTTTACTGCAGCTGTGTAGTGAGCCCAAGTCCAAAGCCAGTGCACGCCAAATAAAAGCTTTAATATACTCTCAGATCCTGCCAGAGCTACAGATTGAAGCTGACATCAGACTTGAAGTGAAAATTTATATATAAAAATATTTAATTAATTTTATAAAAGTGTATTGATAATTCTGTTTTGAAGATTAAGCTATCACTGATAGCTACCATTGTAAAGAGCATTTAAGTTACTGTATCCCAATGCCAAAAGTGTTGCATATGGAAAAATCTTGGTTTGCTTTTTTATTTGATAATGGTAAACTTTAAGGTTTTACAAACCTTACTTTCTGGGGCAAGTAAAGTGAAGAGATAAAAGACTTTAAAGTGGTCAAATGTACTGTGCTTAGGACATTTGGTGATACAGATGTCAGCAGGTTCAACATTTAGATAAACATTTGCTCCCATTTCAGGCTGTAGCTGCACGTGATTGTCAGGAGTTGCCTTACTTTAGGGGAGGAGTTCCTTGGGAGAAACTATTCTTGCTGCTTGAGCACAAGAAGCTAATGTTCAGAAAAATGGTTAAAATAGCATGAAAAGATTATTATAGAACCAATTTTTAAGCTTCCCTGTTTGCTGCCTCTGTAGCAAACAGTAATATATTTACTTGAACTGCTTTTCAGAGAATTGCACAGTTTCTATTCACAGTGAAGAGGTTTCTTTTAAGTTTTGACAGTCTGATTTTTTTTTTCCAGGGAGGGGGAAAGGGTACTCTTCATTAAAATCATAAATGGAACCTCTGCACTTGCRTAGGTTCTGACCTAAACCTTGTGTTTTGGGTATATTATCACTCAGATGTTGAATTGAAAACCATCCTTGCATCAAATAGCCCACCCAAAAAGTCTGTTTCTTACTATGACTGTATTTTGCTACTATGTCCCTTTTTTAAAGAAAATTTCGGAGATGGCCTCATTGCTTTTTATGTACACCAGACTAATGGCTGAAGGTGTCAGTCTTTGTGGCAGTTAACAACTTTGAATTTGAGTCCCTAGGTTTTACAGAGCAAAACATAATGAGTCAGATGAACCCTCTTGGATTTCTCTTCACTTTGGAAGAAATTCTGTATTGAACTTTGGTAGTTCATTCCCTCAAAGGAGGGAAACCCTGCTGGTTGTACTGCTGTAAGGGCAATACAGRAAACATGAACACACACACACTACCTGTGATTTCTCATTTTTACATACAATTGAAAAATGAGGACACTGAAGATGGACTGCAAAAGTAGGCAAGAATGGCTCTGGTACTTAGATCTCAGCACGACAACTCTACCACTGTAAATGTGTGGTAGAGGTGTGTCTATTTTTGTAGTCGAACTCTTTTTTAAAAACTRTTTCTGTATTTGACACATTAGTGTTCAGCCAACATTGTTACCATCCATTTTACTTTCTTTCATTATTGTTTTTAATTTAATATATTTGAGTCTAAGTCCACATAGACTGTGTTGCAATAACTAGAATGATTCACTTTTATTTAGAATTAATTTCTTAACAGAATTTAATCAAAGATGCAGAATGGCTGTTAAGTTAAGGGACCATTAAATGTGATTTTAAGGTTCTGTTTACTATTATGGATGTAATCCTTATAGTAAATTTAATTTTGTAAAGTAGTGTATAATATTGTAATATTAAATCTTTGTTTTCTGAACTCAAACATTTGATCTTCAGTATGAAGTTATAAATCTTCCCCCTTCTGAATTTGAGACAGGATTTACTTGTCCTCCTTTTTACAGTTTGTAATTTTCACTGTTTTATTCCTGTAAAAAGTCATTTGTAACACATGCAAATGCTTATTTTATCTGTGCTAATTTATCAGATTTGGCTACTGAATAAAATYAATTGAAAGAACTCATGCAAGTCCATCACTCCTTTCTTATAAATAAAAATAGAACAATGTATTTAATCAATTGAGAGAAATACCATGTTGGTCACAGGAGGCAGCTTGCAGTGATGGTTGGAATTTAACCTTCAGAAGCATTCCAAGATTGTGATCAATTTTATTCTAGGTAATCCTGTATCTTCATTTCACATCCCATTTTTTCAGCATCTTTTTTGTAAAAGTCATTCCATTTTAACACTTGCAAATTTTTTGAGCTGTTTTCACTACTGCTTCTGGCCCATCAAAGATGAGTAAATGCATGAGCTTGGTAGTCTGACCTCTGTAATTAACTGGTTTTGAATACAGAATTCTCTCATTCAATGTTGTAGAAATATTGATTGGACTTGTCACCCCTGGGTTTTTTTTCCAATACTTGTAAATGTCCTGCTACTGCAGAAATCCACAACTCCGGCTGTGGCCCAGGGATCAGCAGGCACCTGTCCTGGCACTGGGTTTTGGAATTGCAAGTATTTGGAATACTTGGAGTGCTGTTCTAATGGGAGTGCTTGTGAGTTAAGGAGTGAAGGTGTTTGGTGCCAAAGCCGATGAGGGCAATTAGTGTGAAGTGCTGATGGGAATGCTCCATGTCATTTGATTTGGCTGTTCCGAGTTTTATCACCTGGCACGCAAGAAGAGGTGTAATGGACTTGAGTGTACATAAAGATGAATATTACGCTGACTGTAGCTTACTGGAAAGAAGTGAATATGCTCTCTTCTATAACGTCAGTAGCTGTAGCATCCTCGAGAGGTGCTTGCCTGTCGGCGTTCCCTCAGMGTGCACCGCGAGTCCCGTAGCGGTGCGGTGCCAGGGCTGGAGGCCGCCGTGTGTGCGCAGCAGTGTCACCGCCACCAAATCGCCTCAGCGCAACCATCACCCTTTCCCGCCCTCACGCCACCGCCCCTCGCCCCGTGACTTCACTTCCGAGGCCGGGGCGGCCATCTTGAGTGCTGGCGCCGCGCCGGCAGAGAGGGGGAGCACGGCGCGCTCTCCCAGCCCGTCCCGCCCTTCGCCTGCCCTTACACAAAATGGCGGCGCCCGCTTCAGCGGCGGGAGGCGGGCGGTGCCGGCGCCTGCGCACCGGGCGGGGCGGGCCCGTGGTGCCGGGCCTGCGGTGCCGGGGATGGCGGACGGCGGCGGGGGAGCGGCGCCCACACCCCCGGGGCCCCCCGCGGGGCTCTCGGCGTCCCAGCGCCGCGCCGAGCTGCGCCGCAGGAAGCTGCTCATGAACTCGGAGGAGCGGATCAACCGCATCATGGGCTTCCACCGGCCCGCGGCGGGCAAGGGTGAGCCCCATGGCGGGTGCGGCGGGGCTGTGTGAGGGCTCCGGGGCTGCGCTGACGCCTTGGCCTCTCCGGCCGTGACCGCTGCCCGCGGTCCCCTCGTGCACAGGAGAGGCTCGTTCCCCGCAGGGACAGGGCCGGCTCGCTCCCCGGTCCCTCAGTGCCGCCTTCCCTCAGGGATGCTTCAAGCAGCCCGACCTGCCCTGCACCGCCAGGGACCCGCCCATAAAACCCGGGTGCCGTCAGAAGGTCGGGACTTGGGCCCGGCACTGTCCCTAGAGAGCGAGCAGACAAGCTGTCATTTCACTGCAAGTAGCTTTTTTTAGTTGAAGGAAGGATGAGCCTCCCCCATGTTTTCAGCCAGTAAATGCTGGCTTTCATAGCTGGTTTTTTATAGCAAAGTTATCTCACATTTAGATAGTGACAGAAATGTTTGTGGTTGGCATGCAGAATTTTCTTGCAGAACCATACTGTAGGTAGGTCAGTTATATTTCTATACGCTTCAAGCAGGCTGTCTTGATTCCAGTTTACAAGCAGTTCTGAGATTTCAGTTTACAATGATGCCCATGAGCCATGAATCCATCTGACTTAACACTGAGAATTACTCCTGAAGTGTTGGTTCTTGCTCTCTGGTAGGACCAGGCCTGTTCTTGATTTGGCTTTTGTTCTCCACCTCCCTCATTGTACAAGGGGTCTTCGGGTTTGATACCAAGCAGGTTAACACTGCCCTGCCTCTGACAGTAGATAGCAAGCCGAAGTGCACTTGTGTTGTCTGCTTATTTGTCAGGTATTAATGCTTTTCTGGTAGATTCACTTTCTGCAAATCTTTCTCTTTTCTTAATGTCGATCCATGTATTTGGATCTTGGTGCTGAATCTTTCATACAATGCTGTTGCTTAAGGAAGCAGTGTTTTAATTTCTGTATTGCTGACTGACAACTTCAACTTCTGGTGTGCATTGCTCAGCTTTTGGTCTCATGTCTGCTCAATGAAGAGTGCYCTCTTTAATAATAAACCTGTCTTTTCACTTGGAGAGCAGAGACYCAGGACCCTGATCCAGTATTGGCTAAAGTGTTGTTCCGTGTACCCGGCGTACATAACTGTGTTTTTATTTCTCTTCTTTAGATGATGAAAGTCACGCAGAATCAAAGCTTCAGCACGAGCAAGATAAATCAAACTCCCTTCCCATTCCTTCAGTTTCCAAGCGGATTGTGCTTGGCGATTCTGTGTGTAATGTGACAGGCTCGACTGACCAYGCAGGCAGCATGGCAGAGCTCAGAGGGGACAAGGACTTGTTTGGTAAAGCCCCAGAGCTGGTCACTGAGGGGACAGGCGAACTTCGTCACCGTCACAGGGGGGACCTGCCCTCTGAGGCTGCACCACGGCCTCCGAGACACGGCTTAGAGCAGTACCTGTCCAGATTTGACGAAGCCCTAAAGCTGAGGAACCAGCTGATGAGYGAGAAGCCGAGCCAAGAGAATGGGAATGCAGCGGAGGAGTTTGACTCTTTCCGCATTTTCAGATTGGTGGGATGTGCTCTGCTCGCCATCGCGGTCAGAGCTTTTGTGTGCAAGTACCTGGTGAGTCCAGGGACACAACCCTGCTGGGGTTTGCTGGTTGGTGCAAATTATTGGGAAATATCTGAGGCTGAAGTCTACTGGTAATGTCCAAATTGAGAACTTCAGGCACTCTTTACAATTCTAACATTTGTATCAAACCTAAAAAAATTGCTGAATCTGCTACCTAACACAGCCACTGTGTAACCATGTTGGTCTGTTGTATTTGAGGAGCAGATGCACTGGAATAGTTGCAGCTGAAGTCCCCTGCACGTTTATTCCATCTTTGTGAGCATTCGAGTCAGCTGCTCCTCTAATTTGAAGTCTAAAGAAGAATAATAGTGTAAGAATAGGGTTCCCATCCCTGGAAGTGTTCAAGGCCAGGTTGGATGGGGCTTGGAGCATCCTAGTCTASTGGAAGGGGGTAGGAATGAGATGGCATTTAAGGTCAGTTTTAACCCAAACCATTCTTTACTCAGTAGTTCTTCCAAGATAAGTAGATCCTGTTCATTTATCAGCCTGGGAAAAGCAGTTCATCAGTTAAGTTCCCAGTGCCTGCCAGAACTGCACAGAGGTGTGTGGCTGTTACAGGCTACCAGCTCCTGGATCCCTGGGCTCAGTTTTACGCACTGGCCTCCATTTGACACACTGCTGTTCTATTCTGCCATTTCAGGTCTTTAGGCTCAAAGAAAATAGGGCAGAATCTTATTTTCGACACTTAACATATTTGCTTAGGTTTGTAGTATTCAAAAATGATGTTGCTCTGTTCCACAAATTCATTTTTACCTACTAATTTTCATTGATGACTTAAGCAGCATTACATTTCTGTGTTTCTTAGCTATTCTGAACAAGTTAATTTTTATATATTCTTTTCTGTTCCTTCAGTCAATATTTGCACCATTTCTTACTCTACAACTTGCTTTCATGGGACTGTCCAAGTACTTTCCAAAGGTAAGATAGTTTTTTTGAAATTAGATTAATTTGAAGTGTTTTCAGTTTAAGTTTCGATTGTATTGTTTTAGGACCAATGCATGTGAAGTATTCTTCCCTTGTTTTAAACTGTAGAGTTGAATGACCAATGCTGGTAGTTCATACTAGTTTTTAATCTTTCCAGATTTAGTCCAGATCTTTTTTAAAGYTGCATGAAAACCTGGTTAGCAGCTTGTTTAGCTGTAGCCTAATTAAAAGCATTTGACCAGGAAATGCAGGTAGTTCTTTCATGTCTTCAGAAAAYTAGCTTTTCTTCTAGACCATGCTCTTTGGTTATTGCTTGCTTTGCTTAGCAGCTGTTCTGTATGAAATAGCTGGAAATTTGGGAGTATGTTTGCTAAAAAATGAGGYAGAATGGTTGCTTTTAAGGGCTCTGCATTCCACTGTTGGTATTGGTTTGAATGGCAGCTTGAAACGAGACGTTCATTTGTGTGTGAAACTTGCTGCCTATTAGCAAGATTTACTATACCACTTGCTTTATATATTTACACCAGGTAATTGTGCTGAAGCATTTGTTAGGTTGATGATTTTGTCAGGTCTGCTGTTCATAGTGGGTTTGAATGATGTTCAATCCATAGTTAAAAGGGAAAATTTGCATTTTAAAAGGAATAATAGATTACTTGTAGAAATGAGAATAAATCAGCAGTTGTTTTGTAGTTAAGTATATCATAATAGTAATTCTAAGTTGATGTGTCACAACACAAAATAGTAGAATTAGCCTTAGATTTGCACCAGCTCATCTGCTACATCTTCTGGATCTGTTTCTGCTGTACTTAAAATCAGCTCCTCAGTTTCAGAATTTAAAGAGGTTGTTCCTGCTGTAGTGGAAGGTATCCCTGCCCGTGGCAGGGGGTTGGAATGAGATGAGCTTTAAGGTCCCTTCCAACCCAGACTATTCTGGGATTCTGTTTTTTTGCCAAGTAGTGTTATGAGATTAATCGAGTTCTGCCMGTGGAGATGCCAGGCTTGGCTTCTTGCACCCAGATTTCCCTTGTCTGGGAATCTTCCCACTCAGGCAGGAGCAGCTGCCCAGCCTCATGTCTCAGCCTGCTGGGAGCAGCAGTGTGAAGGAGACAGAGTATCAGGGATGGATTTTATTTGCTGTTAACCAGCCTCTCTCTCAGCTCTGCTGGATCCATCACAGCAGGAATTTGTGTCTAGGGTAAGTGCTGTGAATCCTGGGGTGTCTGGAGAGAATCAATCCAAACCTGGTACCAGTGAATTTGGAATGTGTGAAACTGGCTTAGCATTGGAGACATGTAAAGCAGGATTGGATTAGAAGAACTAACATACTACCATTTTTTTCTTTCCTTTTTAGTGTGAGAAGAAGGTAAAAACAACAGTATTGACTGCTGCTCTTCTCCTGTCTGGAATCCCTGCAGAAGTGATCAGTCGCTCCATGGACACCTACAGCAAAATGGGAGATGTTTTCACAGACCTCTGTGTCTATTTCTTYACTTTTATCTTTTGCCATGAACTTACTTTGGTTTTTGGCTCTGAAGTACCATGATGGCTGTAGAATTCCACAAGTAACTACACTAAAGCTTTCTGGACTGTGTTCCTTTAAAATCTGACTGTCCAGGCAGGTCTAAACCTTCATTAAAATTCTTACCTGTTCAAATGCTTGAAAGGAGCCTTAAATCCAATAATTTTGGGAAAGGGAGAGCAGGGTCCCAGACTGCAAGCTGTGTTGATTCAGATTATTTAAGTACTGTGTCTGCGTATTACAAATGTGAAGGCTAGGACGCAAGTGTCAGTGGATGATTTATTTGCTTTAGTTAGATGATGCCCTTTTCAGCCTCCTCCATAAACATTTGCAAAGCTGCTTTTGTTCTTTTCAAGTGAGAACAAGAAARGAGTTCCCTTCAGCAGAACAATAAATATGTGTATATCCTGTAAGACTATAGCTAACAAAAACTATAGCTGCTCATTTTGTGGTGTTCCCATTTTTTAAAGAAAGCTCTCAATGAAAGAAATGCCTGTATTCTCTTCAAATGTTTAAGTTCAGAATGTTGAACCAAGTAGCTGCTTCTGGAGAATGTTGGTGAAAATTGACACTTTCTTGTCCTGATCCTTGCCTTGCTATACATGATTGTTGTGATTTTAATTAATTTGATGATTATTGTGGAAGAGAGCTAAGCAAAACCAGCAAGAAGGAAGTCCTGGTGCTTACAAATGTCATTAATCAAAAAGTAAGAAGAAACAAAGCTAATCTCATCTGTTTATGAGTTTCTAGCAGCATAATCCTAGTGAAGCTCACACCTGCACTTTCTTTTTACCTTTTTTTTTAATGCTAGCAGATCATCTCATGAGGGAGAAGTTGTATAGAGCACCCAAACTGCAGTATCAAATCTTTGTCCTAGTTTTTGTAAAATTTACAAGGGAAACTGTTTTGTTGTCAGTCTCCTAGGAATTTTACGCAGCGAGAGGGAGGAAGTAATCATTCCAAATAGTTGACTAAATGCTGATAGTCTCTACTTGACCATTTTCATGTTGGTTTTTTATAACTGATTTGACCATTTTCATGTTGGTTTTTTATAACTTATTATGTTACAAAGAGTATTGTATTACAGGTGTTCAGGGCTGAGCTGCAGAAAATTCTGACCTAGGTCTATTAACACAGAAACTGATTTAGAAGCTGAGATATGTAAATAATGAATTTGCTCAAAAGTTACGTGTTCTGATTCTCTACTTACATGCCCAAATGTAATATAAATAAATTGGGAAAATCCCTATACCAGTCCCTCCAAAAAGCAAAGAATTTTTAATCTTCACCAAAACTTTTAACACTAATCAGGTAAATATTCTTGCATGAGCAGAGCACCAGGAGGGGCTTGTGCTTAATTAAGAAACCTCGATGAAGAAATAGCGATTACGAAACGACCTTTAATAAGAAACCGACCTCTTTTATTCCGTTTTTATCTTACCTCTGTTGGTGTACATAATTCTATGTAATGTTTATTGCCGGACCGATTGTTTTCTATTAAAAGCCTATTTGTTACCCTCTTCCTTGGCGCTGTATGTGGYTGGGCGGGGGCCCGGTTGGTGTGCCCGGGCCGGCGCTGCGCCCTCCGCCCGCCAGGGGGCGCGTTCGCGGGCGGCGGGCCGGAAGGGGCGGCGCTCCCCGCGGGGCTCCGTCTGTGCTGGCGCGGAATGGCCGCCGCCGTGTAGCGGGAACGTCGCCGCCATGGGCCGCGAGTCCAGGTGAGGCAGCGCCGCCGCCGCCCCGCCCGCCCGGGGGTCGCGGCACGCCCGGGGATCGCAGCTCGCTCGGGGATCGCGGCGCGGTGAGGCGGCCGTGAGGGGGACAAAGGGTGCCGCGGGCTCTCGTGGCCGACGGGTGCGCTGAGGCCGCCACGGCCGGGCCCGGGCCCGGAGCCAGCCCTCAGGGTAGCGATGAGGGCTCGGGACTCCGGCCGGGGCCGCTGGTCCCAGCGCTGGATGGGTCCGAGTTGCCGGGACTCACCAGCACCGGCCCCGCGGCTGCCGGTGCCCCTCCGGCCTTCGTGGGCTTGTTCAAAAGAGGCCGTAATTAGCCACGTAAGGGGGTTAGCCTGGTTTAGGCATTTTGCCTGTGCTTTTTTGTATTTGTGCAGGGTCACTTACCTTTTGCCCTCTCGCAGCTGATAAAAATACCTGGTTAGTGTTGTAACCAGCTCACAGTAACGTATCCCTGTCCTCCGTGTGTCTCGGGCCAAGCCTGTGCTCCAGATGATTTGAAKCTYCTCACACGTATMAGGCTTTAAACCTGGTTCCACATTTTGCAAGTRCTGTCGGGCACATGCTGGTTTTCTTGTTTAATCAAATAATCCGATTTTAATACTGAACTGACACAACAGTCCCCCCATGCAGTTGTACTACACTGTAGTAGGTCYACAACGGAGACTTACACCGAGAGGGGCAGATGATTTGAAATTTTAACAACCACCTTAGGCTCAAATTTGTGATCTAGAGCTGGGCATTCCCACAGATTTATCTAAATTAGCTCTAAATGAGCCAGGCCAGCATGGATGGTACAGGACACCACTAGAGCCTTCTGAATTGACAACCAGGCTCTGGCACTCCAGCCAGCAGGACTCCCTTGTTTGTCACAGAACAGTTGCTCTGCTTTGAAGAGCCTTTAGCTTTTCCTATATATAAAATGGAAATTGGTGGATTTCTGGAAAGGAAATTGTTCTTAATGTTCTGGTGTTCTCATGACATGGTTATAGTAGTACTCTAAAACTAAAACAAAATCATGACCAAATAATCCTTATAATTTCAGCATCATTAGGAATATATGTATATTAATTAGTTTGGCAAGATGGTTACAAATGTTTAGACATTTAGAAAGTCCAAGAAACTAAAATCTTTTTTTTTTGCTTGCTTGACCACCTGACAAACATCCTTTAATTGCACATGGTTCTGGTGTTYATACCTGTCTCTGAATGTACCATGCAGGCATTATCGGAAGCGCTCTGCATCCCGGGGCCGCTCCGGGAGCCGCTCCAGGAGTCGTTCCCCATCCGACAAGAGGAAACGTGAGGACAGGCGCTCCAGGAGCAGGGATCGGGATCGCAGGCGGGAGAGGTCGCGCAGCAGGGACAAGAGAAGGTCTCGATCACGGGACAGAAAGCGTCAAAGGTATGACATCAGCTCCAGCAAAAGTATCTAGAAGTCCCTGTCTGCTAAATACTGATATTCTCCCACTCCAGTGTTATTTTGCWGAGGTCTRTGATAGATTTCACTATGCTTAAGGCTTTTTTCTGGTTTGCTGTTGCTGGAGTTTTTAAGTTCTTGGTGGTCTTGAATGATTGGTGGGTTCCTTTTAYAACCTRTTCCTCAACAGARGRCTGAAGTTWYACTAYRATCATGTCCTAAGTAAAGACAATTYTGTTGCATGTCAGACGTTCAAGGAGCAGAGAAAGGGAACGGAGCCGAGAGAGAAGACGATCCCGGAGCCGAGAGAGGMGGCGCTCAAGGAGCAGGAGTAGAGGGAGACGGTCTCGATCCTCCAGCCCAAGCAAGAACAGGAAAACAGAAAACAGGTATTCTTGTGTTCTTGACTTTAGAAATAGATAAAAGCTTACTGCAGGTCATTTTCTTTTAAGTACATCTTGATAGCGTTTTCAGATAGAATTGTAAACAGCATAATCAGGCTGCTGTAAAATGAATGGGAAGTCCATAAATGTTAACAGCAGTCTGGATACAGAATAAGTAGAGATGGCAGTCTGAAAATTGTGAGAAGCTGAAATCACAGAGTCTTTGTGGATAAGACTGTGTTTTGTATTAGAATAGCCCAAAGAAAAAAGCTTGAGATTTCATTGGCTAAAGTGAATTTTGTACTTCTTGTCATAAGTTAGCACATAYTTGGTTTAGATGCATTCTTTTCTTTTAAATTGGAAGCAAGTAAGGATGACAAAACCTGTGGTAAATGGGTTTTGTACTCAATGCAAGTCTGCTTGTTACATTTGCATTACATGAATAGCTTTTCCCAGGAGGGTTTTTGTCTGTCAGCCAGGATGGTGTGTTTAGCAGGATATTCACATTTCCACGGCAATATGCTAGATCACTTTACCTTTCTCTAGAAATTCCACAAACAGGAGTTTTCTATCTCCCTTTCCTAAATACTGACTTCAAGGAGGTGTAAAATAAAGCACAGAACAACTGGAGTATCTATAGTAAGAGCTCTGAAACTGAAGTCTGTAAAGAAATGAGAAAAGCACGTGCATTGGTGACGTGCAATAGTCTACATTTCTGGTGGACAAAGGAAATAATTCCATGACATGGAAAATTGTCTGGGAAGCAGTGTGTTTTGTGAGGTGTTTGAAAACATACAAGGTGTTCATAGTTCTGTTTCTGTCCAGCACATGTGTATCCTTCCCCTGAGAAAAGCTGTAATGTTCTAACAAACCTTTGATCTTGCCTTTCAGATCAAGATCTAAAGAAAAGACAGAAGGTGTGGAAGTTTCCAAAGAAAAGAAAAAAGACAAAGATGACAAAGAAGAAGAGAAGGATAAAGATGCTGCCACAAATGCTGTGGCCACTGAGGTAGAGACTTTTAACTCCTGTACATTTAAAAGATACAGGCTTTAAACCAGGAAGTTTGTGGATGTCCAGTCTTCTACAGCATGCTCACTCTATGTTTGTTTAAAGAAGCATAAGCTAAAGCTCATGGCCATTAATTTTCACTATTTGGTTGGTTTTTGTYATAGAATTTTGATCAGAACAAACTAGAGGAAGAAATGAGAAAACGAAAAGAAAGAGTGGAGAAATGGAGGGAAGAACAACGCAAGAAAGCAATGGAAAACATAGGAGAGCTRAAAAAAGAAATTGAAGAGATGAAACAGGGGAAAAAATGGAGTTTAGAAGATGATGATGGTATTTWACCTCTTTATTTATAACAGAATATTTTTGTTCCTTATAATATTTTTACTGTGGTATCTTTAAAATATTTAGTTGCTCTTCAGAATGTGAACTGTAAAGTAACAAAGCCTAAATCTGSTCATGGTGTCAAATGGTTTAAGATACATTTTTGATAAACCAAGTGGAGAGATTTGTGTGAGGAAAAATTATATAGTTATAAGACTGGGCTGTAATTATTTGGGTGGACAATAATTTGACATATGTAAGGACTCTTAGCTTTCCRTCTTTTATCCCCATATTTTTTGCTCATACTAGATGATGAAGAGGAAACCGCAGAAGGAGAAAAAGAAGGCAATGAGGTTGAAGATGAGGAGTTAGATCCTTTGGATGCATATATGGAAGAAGTAAAAGAAGAGGTCAAGAAGTTCAATATGAGAAGTGTGAAAGGTGGAGGTGGGAGTGAGAAGGTAAAATCACCTATTAAGATTTCTTGTTTTTAAAAGACAAAGATAAGTTTGTGTTTTAATAGCAAAATGGCTTGAAATAAAATACGGGGAAGCGCAAAAGGCAAGAAATTAGATGCACTTAATGCCTGTTTGCTTTAACTTTCGTTTCCTGGTGTTTCTATGAAACTTTTATCAAGCATTATTCTGATAAAATTTCACTGAGGGATGTGAACAAAAAGAATAGCACTCAGMATAATRCATCCAAAAGTACAGAATGTTCTGTATGTTTGATACAGTATGGGTTTTGCTTTATACAACAG